AAAAAAAAAAGAATTGTAGAATTGATTGTGGTGGAATCGATCATGGAGAAATCGATGTTTTAGGCTCATATGAATGTCTTTACCTTCCCTTTTTTTAAAAAAAATCACAATTTGAAGTCTCATTGTCAAGAGGAATTACACTTTGCTAAGTTCTACAGATACTGTGTGATTTGAAAAGCAGACAATCATTTATGAAGTGTACTCTATGAAGTTAACCTTCGTAAAGAATTCTTGCGGGGGGGGCTGGGAAGGTGGCTCAGTGGTAGAGTGCCTAGCATGCATGAAGCCCTGGGTTCGATTCCTCAGTACCACATACACAGAAAAAGCTGGAAGTGGCACTGTGGTTCAAGAGGTAGAACACTAGTCTTGATCAAAAAGAAGCTCAGGGACAGTGCCCAGGCCCTGAGTTCAAGCCATAGGACTGGCAAAAAAAAGAGAGAGAGAATTATTGGAAGGTGAGCCAGGGCAAGCTATACATGATATTTAAAATGAGGCTTTCCCCCCATTTATAGCAACCTTAAATTAAATTAGATTTAATTATGCCACATCATCATGTTTCGTAGCATAGAGCTGCTAAGATCATCCTACAAGCTGAAGCCCCAAGAAAAAAATCCCAAAAGAGAATTATTTTTTTCTTTTATATTTAAAAACTTCCCCCCAATTTTTTTTCTTTTTCCCCCTCCTTCTGATATAATTTGTTAACAAAGAAACATTGAGCAAATCTTTAGTAAGACAAAACTTTTTTTGTTATAGTTTAAATGTGTGTGTTTCTCAAAGTGGTCCATTTGATTCTAGTGTGAGTTGTTGTTTTCAATCACAGTGTATGTTCATGATTGCAAACTTGTCTGTCTAAAAGAGAAGCTGGTGGGGTGTGAGACAGAAGAAGTTTATCCACCTGTCACTGAGATAGCTGTAAAAGAATTCACTTTCCTCTCATCTTAGCGCACTGGGAACGGTAAAAGTCATGTTCCTGTGGAAAATGAGAGTAAGTACTTTCCTTCCAAAGAGTTGATGAGAGAATTCTCCCTCCAGCTCAGCTAAGACATTTGTTACCTTGTTGCAGGAAAGTTTGGCATTGTGTTCAGCACTAGTTTCCATAGGCTGAAAGAAGACACTTACCCTCCCACCCAAAACTTCTTTTAATCTTTTCCTGCTCTGAATTTTTTTCTCATTCTTTGAGTGGCTCCCACTAAGCTCATATGTATTTAGCCAGAAACAACCACTTGTTAAAGTTTGCCTGGTAACTTACAGGTTGAATTTCAAGTATGTGGGCATAAAGAGCTATCACCCATCATACTTTGCATATGAAATGTCCAAAACAGCCAATCTATAAAGACAGAAAATAGGTGAAAAAATTTCAGGGTCTGTAGATTGGGGGTAATGGCCATGAAGAGTGCAGTCTGTGGGGGAAACAAAAATACTCTAAACTTCATGGTACTGATGATCGTTGGATATTCTGCCCTGAATATTCCGTAAGCCTTGAACAACATGTCTTAAATGGACAGCCTGTATACTGTGGATTGTACCTTAAAATTAAGCCTCTAAACCTGTTTAACTAAACAAATTAATGGACATACCTAGAAGATAATTTTGTGTGTATGTGTGCTGGTCCTGGGGCTTGAACTCAGGGCCTGAGTGCTGTCCTTCAGCTTTTGTGCTCAAGGCTAGCTCTCTACCACTTGAGTCCCACCTCTATTTTTGGCTTTTTGTTGGTTAACTGGAGATTGAGTCTCAAAGATTTGTCTGCCTAGGCTGGTTTAGAACTAGAATCCTCAGGGGCTGAGAAGGTGGCTCAATGGTAAAGTGCTTGCCTTGCATGCATGAGGCCCTGGGTTCGATTCCTCAGCACCATATAAGCAGAAAAGGCTGGAAGTAGTGCTGTAGCTCAAGTAGAGCGCTAGCCTTGAGCTGAAGAGCTGAGGGACAGTGCCCAGGCCCAGAGTTCAGGCCCCACCACTGACAAAAAAAAGGGGGGGGGGACTAGAATCCTCAGACCTCAGCCTCCTGAGAAGCTAGGTTACATATATGAGCCACTGTCACATGGCTAGAAGATGGATTTTTTTTAATCTTTTAAGCAACTTGAATGATGGAAAACACCACCAGATTCTTTCTTGGAAATCCTTGGTTTAATTCCAAGCTTCTGCTTTGATGTTGACATTTGATCAATAGGCCAAAACTCTGATATCCTCTTTTTCTGGGGGGTGGGGAGGAGGAGGTTCGAGACTGGGACTAGAACTCAGCACCTGATGCTTTTGCTCACTGGCTAGCATGCTACTAACTGAGCCATGCCTCCAACTGCACTCTGATTTCCCTAAGTCTAGCTTTCTTCATGTATATAATAGCCTGCCTATACCACAAGCAACATAGCAAGTATTAGTGAAAGATACACACACATACGTGTGTATAAAAATGTGCCAGGGCGGGGGGAAGGGAGGATGGGGGCTGGGAATGGCTTAGTGGCAGAGTGCTTGCCTGAAGTGCATGCATGAAGTCCTGGGTTCAATTCCTCAATACCACATACATAGAAAAAAGCTGGAAGTGGTGCTGTGGCCCAAGTGGTAGAGTGCTAGAAATGAGCACAAGAAGCTCAGGAACAGTGCCCAGGCCCTGATTCAAGCCCCAGGACTGGCAAAAAAAAAGACCAACAAAATGTGTCTGGGATAACCCAGAGGCCTAAAAGGATATTTGTTGAATTACTGTGTGCACACATCATTTCCCACACAGATACATATGGCTGCTGCAGGCACCAGAGGCAAACATCTCCCCAGGGAAAGCCTGCCTCAAACCCAGCCAACGGACACCTGCTGGGTCTCTCTCCACAGATCCGCCAGGAGTCAAATATACTCAGAGCAGCGTTTCATTGCTCAGATTTGAACATTACAGGAGATAACCGCTTAACAACAACAACAAAAGCCAATATAACTTAATCACCCAGAGAACCAGACAAAGTAACCATCTCTGCAGCCATTAGTTACATTGACCATTTTTTCCAACAGAATTGTCACCTCCATGAGCTCAGACATTTGCATCTGAAAAAAATCCCCCATTGTTTTCTGTGCTGGCTTCCTTTCTACACCCCCCTCCCCAGCAGCATTCACAGGGAGATTAAATTGATACCTGCAGGAGTCCACAGTCCTAGATTTTGAACCACAAACTCTCAGAAATACGAAGTTCATTTAACCAAGTTGCCCATAAAACAAGTGTGCATCTAATTTGGGGGGGGAGGGGCAATGACGACACAGCTGCCCCAAACCTTCCAGCCTTACCTGATTTCAGAAATAAAAGAAGGAGAAGGAAGACTTCCTTCTGCTCCATGTTGGGCCAGGCCAGCGGTGCTGGAGAACTGCGTCCCTACCCCAGATGTCACGGAGAACAGCACAGCCACACGCGGCCAGAGAGTCCACAGGGCCAGATAGTCAAATGAGATTAATGGTTGACCAGCCCCCCCCCCCCGCCGCCCCCGGCTCTGCTCAGAAGGGGCAAACAGTACCTTGAACGGGAGCTTACAAAATGTTTGCAGAAACGCATCTGCAACCCAGGCTGGCAAGAGGTAAAAGTGACCATCCTCTCTCGGCACCCTGCCTTTCTCCTCCCCCCTCCTCCCTGCCCACAGGCCTCCATTTTCCCCTCTTCCTTCATCCCTTTTCTGTCAGGTAAAAATAGAAAATAAAAACTGGGTGCCAGTAGCTCACACCAGTCATCCTAAGCTACTCAGGAGGCTGAGAGCTGAGGATCGTGGTTTAAAGCCAGCTGGGGCAGGAAAAGTCCACGAGACATGAACCACCAGAAAACCAGAAGTGGCGCTGTGGCTCAACTGGTAGAGCACTAGCCTTGAGCTGAAAAGCTCAGAGACAGCACCCAGGCAAAGAAAGGAAGGAAGGGAGGGAGGGAGGGACGGAGGGAGGGAGGGAGGGAAGGAGGGAGGGAATAACAATAAAATAAGTAATATAATAAAACATTAGTTCTCATCTTCGGACCCCCCCCCCCACACACACACAGCAGAGCCTGCCCTAGCCACCCTTCCAGCAAGCCAAGCTCCTTAAGCTGACAGGAAGACAGCTCAGGCACAGGAGCCCAGACTCCACCACAAGTAAGCACCCACATCCCTATGCCGGACACCAAACTCTAGAAACTGTAATGGAAGTGACACTATTGTTTTTTATTATCCAAATTCCAAATACTTTATTCCCAGTGGACTCGTAGCTTTTCTATAATTCTAAAAGTTTTATTGTATCATTAATTTAAATCAAATTGACTTTTAAACAATGCATATATAATTGTACACATTCATGGGGGAGCCTGCGGTGTTTTGATAATTTGTACACTGTGTCATGTTTGCAGGTGTACTGGTTTATGCATTTATTTTGGTAGTTTAGTATTTACTTACTTTTTGGACGATGAAATCTAGGGACTTTCTCATCTGTAAGCAGCTGTTCCTCCTCCAGCCTATTACGTAATGATTAGTTGGGTCAAACTTATCCATCTCCTCACTTCAAAGTTCTTTAGTAATTGTAGATGGTGATAAAATGCCATTCTTTTCCCCCCATGTCAATTCACAGCCCATCATATTTTCATCATCACAGGATGGAGAAGAAAATGGCAGAATGAAGTTGCAACACTGTCTCAATTTTCACAGTCCAGTCTGTACTTTGAACAATGCATCCTTTTTCTTTTTTGGTTGTACTGAGAGTTAAACTCATAGCCTTGCACTTGCTAGGCAAGTATTCTACCGCTTGAGCCAGGCCCCCAGCCCTTTTTTGCTTTTAATTACTTGGGAGACAGAGTTTCATGTTTTTGTCTAGGCCTAGCTTCAGGCCATCCTCTGACATAGCTGGAATCACAGGCATGACTTATTGATTGAAATGAGGTCTTGGAATTCTTTCCTCTTAGGGTGGATGGTTAGATCCAGGGTTAGGAGCTAACCATAATCCTTCAATCTTTACCTCCTGATGGTTGGGATTACCAGTGTGCACCGTACCTAGCCTTGTGCATGCTTAAAAGTCCTATTTTACTGTTTCAAAAACTATTTAGAAATAAGACAGCCTCTCTAATCTGAAATAAGGACAGAAAGCATTTGTTCCTCTTTTCTGGCAGTAAAATCCCTTCCATATCAACTGATCAAGGCTCAGGGCCCCTGGGTAGTCTGGGCCGGAGCTCTGTGCAGAATTCCTTGAGACAAAAGCTCCTGCAAAACTCCTGGAGGCCAGAGGGGCTGGGTGAGAAGCAGGGAGGACCTTAGCTCAGCTTCCGCCTTCCTGTTTCACCCAGGGTCTGCTCCCCTCCCGGCCGCCTTGCTCCCCTCCCCTGCACACCTGCCACACCTGCTCACTCGAGGGCCGCAGAATCCGTAGGCCATAGACATTGCTTTTACCTGGAATCATGCAAAATGTCTTTTTGGCAGCCAATGTTGGTGGGTTGAAGAAAGTATTTGGGGGTAGAACACACAACTTTCACTCACAGAGCCCTTTTTCTAGTGTGTCCATGAGTGTTCACTACCCCTTCAAGGGGGTTCCTATTTCCTCCTGGATGAAGAATGCCGGCCTGTCTCCAGTGACCTTCTTCTTGACCTTTAAACCAATCCAGATAGACTTGTGTGCATCTGTGGGGGAGCCTGTGGTGTTCTGATGGTCTGTGCATCGTGTCTCATTGCAGGTTTAACCCTCTATGCATGTATGTTGGTAGTTCAGTGTTTCCTTATGTTTTGCAGGGGGAGATCAGATGTGGTGGTGGTGCACCATTTCCCCTTCACCCTGGGGCTCTGGAACGCACTTGACTCCCACAATGCCCTGTCCGCCGGCTGGGCTGGGCACCGTCTCTCCCCGCGGGACACAGCAGCCCGTGAGCATGGGTTCCAGTACCTCCCAGGGCCACATCCTCCCACCGGGCCCATCTGCTACCTCAACACAGGGTCTGCGTTAGGGGGGTGTGGGGTGGGGGTCTGCATGTGGGGCCTCCTCCGTAGGGGGTGGGGGCTCTGTGGGCGGGGCATCCCATGTCCGGAGGGGCTACATGTGCCCCACCAATAGGCCTCAGCCCATCACCCCCCCCACAATTGCTTCAGGAAGATTCCGTGGCCCCGCACCCCCAGGGTGGCAGGACACAGGACACAGCACAAGCATTTGCATTTGCATTTGCAGGTTGTTCATCGCCTTGGGACCCCAAGCCATCAGACACAGCCAAGCAGTGACAGAAATGGAGGGAAGGGACATCCTGCTTGCCCCTGGCCCCCGAGCAGGGGACTACCCGGGAGGACCCTCGACTTCCACTGCGGCGCACTGAGCTGCCTTTGCTTCCTGTTTCCAGCCCTCAAACTCCATCAAGGTGTGGAGTCACACGACAGACTGCATGTGTGTCCGGATCTGTGCAGGGGAGTGCGCTCCGGTAAGAGCCTGCGGGAGGGATCATTGGGAAACAGCCCCGTGGTTCTTGCTCCATGCAGCCCCGGTGGGGGGGGGGGGAAGAAGCCACCCCTTCCACATGTCCTTCCCGGAAAAGCTTCTCTGCAAGCCTTACTCTGCCAGCGGGCATATCTGAGAGGAAAGGGGCGTGCGATCGCCTCACGCCTTCCCCTTGGCCACCCCAGCCCTGGAGGCCACAACCCTGATGCACTGAAGTCTCAAACCCAGCTCCCCCCTCCCCCCCCCACTCTCTCCCTCTTTCCCTCTCTCCTCTTTCTTCTCACAGTAAACATTTATCCTCAGGGGCCTTTGCCTTTGCCTTTGGGCTGGTCTGTATTGAAAACTTTTAAAAGCGCTTCTTCACAGGGCCAGCAGAGGGCAGCAGATCCCATTTCTCTGCCACTAAAGCCAAGGTAACCTCAGGTCCCCAGACTTGTCTCTTGTCTTATCCTAAAGGACTTCCTGGCAACAAAGGGGTCCAGGTCCTGAGACTGCTAGATCTGGGATGGAAGAGGGGATGGAGGGAGAGGGGCTGGGCAGAAGAGAGCAGTGCAAGGCTTTGGGGGTGGGAGCAGCTGGCCGTTGGCCAGCTCTGGGAGACACTGTCTGCTGGAGGGGCCAGAGAAGCCATGAGGACCCGGAGTCTCCCCAAGGCAGCAGCCACCAGGAGGCTGGGCCAGCGCTGGCCAGGCCAGCCAGCGTCTCCACCTGGCCGAGGCAAGATGGCCTGGTGAGACAATGGTGCCTCTTGCTGCTAGGCTGGATTTTCTCTCACAGTCCTCGCTGTATTCCAGCAAGTAACCAGAGCTGCTGGTGCCGAGCTCCAGGATGGATCCCACCAGGCACCCCCACCCCGGTGGACAGACTGTGATGAGGAGGACCGAGCAGAGAACAGTCTCACTGTCCAGTGTGCTGACCAGCAAGCTTGAACTAGAAAAGATCAAGGTGAGGCTAAGAGGGGGGTCAGGAAGCTGCCTTCTGCCGATCTCTGGCTCAACACCTGGTGAATTAAGTCAGACTCAGAGGACGAAGGCTTGGTGAAGAGATGGGGCTGGGGAAGCTGGGGGTCTCTGCTTTTGAAAGCACACCACCACCACCCAGGGAAGCTGACTGAGTGGTTGAAAGACAGTGATTGGCTATGTTGTCTTAATCTTCCCTCTGCAGACCAGCTGGCTTTGAGACCCCAGAGGAGAGCCTCCCAGGGTACCCCCAAACTCTTGCCATGTACAAAATCTGATGTACAAGGCGATGTGACGAATACTTTGGTCCCAAGTAAGATGAGATATCAATCCTCCTAAACCTGCTGTGTCTGTGACGGACATCACAAACCACAATGAGATGTGAGCGCCCACTTATCTGAGAATTGTGGATTCCCCCGAGGACGTGGGCCGTGTATATCAATGGATGGTGACTACAGACCCTGGGTGCCATTCCAGGGCACTGCCCTTGGCATTTTGAGGGACAGCTTCTATGTGATTCCTCTCTACAGGATAGCCAAGCAAGTGCCCGCTTCAGAAATTATCTGGGGAGAAGGTGTGGAGGGCGGGTGTTTGATTGGAGGAAAATGCACATCTTTTTGGTGACCTGCTGCTTTGGATGCCGTCAGGAGCAGACAGTGTCATTCCAGCCACCCCCCAGGTACCTGTCACCTGCCTCTTGGTTTTCTTCCATCTTTTCTAGAAACAAATGAGGGGCTGACTCAGGGCTGGGCTCTGTTGTGTTTGAAGCACTTAAGATAGTTCAACCGTGCACGGATTGATCTTCTCTTCCTTTGGTGGTGAAGAAAAATGAGAATTTTGCATTTTGAAAAGAAAGACAACTTTAAGCATTATTTTTTTCACTAGCCATCCAGTTAAAAATCTGCAATTTTCAGGAAGCTTTAAAACAATCACTCCCTTTCGGGGGTCCCCACAAACCCCACATTTCACTTGTACTTTCTGTTTGGGGGGGATGAGCTGGCTCGTGTCTGCAGTGACCTTTCAGGAAAT